TGGTGTTACTTGTGACAACAGAAATATAAGAAAAGCGAAATATGGAGAATATGCCTTACAGAGTAAATTAATAACCCTCTCCTTCTTATAAAATGAAACTCAAAATTTGAATTATCATGCAATAAAATTGGTACTCTAGAAACTTCTACTTGAGACCCCTTTTTACAAGTGAAAGGCTTTTTGTTGTTGTTCATTTCATGCATGGCAATTGAAAAGGAAACCATTAGTGCTAATGAGATACCTAGAATACTTAAAGGAGAAAAAATTGTCAAGGCATAACATTAGCAGTCCTGAGAAAAATTACCTTTGTAGCTTCTCTTTTAGCCTTTGCTCTTGCTCTTTCTTCTTGCTGACTATAAGGATCAGGGGAAGAAAAAGAGGGGAAAAGAAGAAATGGGTCTTAATACAGTAGAGTAGATTCTTAACATTTACAGGTGGATCATTCGTTGCTTTGACAATTCTCAAGCACCCCCAAAGATCCACTCACAGCAATTTGTAATTTTATTGGATAATAAACTGAAATTATTTACTTCACCTCAAGAGAATAGTGTGCAAGAAAAAGTCCCTTAATAAGTAAACCCATTTAGCTCCTCAGCAAGAACATTGCAGTAATACTTTCCTATTGGCTGATTATTTTGCATCTGCCACAGGTCTCGAGAAAGTGCTAATATTTGGCTTCTGGGAGGCAGTATAGCATGGTGTTTAAGAGGACAGAGTCCGGTGCCATAAGGAACACAAGAAATGTCTGAACCTCTCTGTGCCTTCCTCATCTTTTTTTTTTTTTTTTAAGATTTTATTTATTTATTTGAGACAGAATGAGAGAGAGAGAGCATGAGAGGGGGGAGGGTCAGAGTGAGAAGCAGACTCCCCGCTGAGCAGGGAGCCCGATGCGGGACTCGATCCCGGGACTCCAGGATCATGACCTGAGCCGAAGGCAGTCGCTTAACCAACTGAGCCACCCAGGCACCCCAGCCTTCCTCATCTTTAAATACGGAAGGGGAAGGGAGGGGCGGGAGGAGTAGTAACCACATTCTTCTCATAGGATTGTTGTGAGCATTAAATGAGTTGATACATGTAAAGCAACTAGAGGAAGGATCTGGTACATAATGAAATGATTGATAAAAGTGATATAAGTGATCGCTATCTTCATCACTGTGATTATCATTAAGAGTAAACCCTCCAAAAAAAAGGTATATGATGGAAATGAAGTGAGGGTGATAGCTCTTAACCATTTTTGATAACTAACAGTGTTGCAAATCAAGTGTAGCACAACTGGATCTATAATCTAAACAATTTAATCCTGTTAAATATGTAAAAAGTTTTCATTTTAAAATGTAAAAATGTGTAAATAATATGTAAAAATGTTATGTTTCAATCAACGTAAGAATTGCTCATTCATTGATCAAATTAAAACTTTTTTAAAAGGTGAAAAGATACCTGGGTGGCTCAGTCGTTAAGCATTTGCCTTCGGCTCAGGTCATGATCCCAGGGTCCTGGGATCAAGCCCCGCATCGGGCTCCCTGCTCAGTGGGAGACCTGCTTCTCCCTCTCCCACTCCCCCTGCTTGTGTTCCCTCTCTCACTGCGTCTCTCTCTGTCAAGTAAATAAATAAAATCTTTTTAAAAAAAGGTGAAAAGACAGGGCGCCTGGGTGGCTCAGTAGGTTAAGCGTCTGCCTTCAGCTAAGGTCATGATCTCCGGGCTCCTGGGATTGAGCCTCGGCAGGGAGTCTACTTCTCTCTCTCCCTCTGCCCCTTCCCCCTGTTCATGCTCTCTCTCTCTCAAATGGATAAATAAAATATTTTTTTAAAAAAAGGTGAAAAGACAGTTTGCATATGGTATGACAGTGTGCAAAAAAGGCTATGGAGGAAAAAATCATTCTCAAAAAAAGACAAGAGCCTTTGCTAACATACCCACAAAATATGACACAGTAAATCTTTATTTCTTTTTGATAAGGAATTTTTACAGTGATGGGAGAAAATTACTAAAACAGCTCCAAAATTGTGAGGTTCCTCATACTTCTTTACATGGAAACTAATCTAAGCTTTACCATGAGTCTACGTTGACTAAAAATTTTAAGAAGCATTTTCTTTCCATACTGGGAACTTTATCAGAGGAAGTAGCACAGCTGACCACTAGGTGGCAGAATTACTTCCTTGTCACTGAAAGATGAATGTCAAGGTAAAGAAAAACAGACAGAAACAAGCCTAACTTCAGGCAAATATAATTAATCGCCAGAAGTTATAATGGCATTGCTAAATGATTATACTATGTCTACAGCATACAGTGGAAAACATAATTTTCTTCATTTTTTTCCCCTGCACTGATATTTCTATCATTCCCAACTTCTCTGGGCCTTTATGTTGTCATCTATAACTTGTGATAATACAAGAAAGATCCACTTCATATGTTTATTGTGAAGATTAAGTGGGATTAAGTAGCAAAGCTTTTAGCAAGTATATGACAATTACATGCATTCAATAAATGTTGGTTATGATGATTTGGTTTTTAGTGCTTCCATGCCCAAACACTAAAGGACAAATCTTCAGGGTTGAAATGCTCTCCACCAGGGAAGACTCAATGACTGAAACCTTTCAGAGATTCTGAGTATATAGAAAATCAACTGGAGTATCCCTTGGGAATAAGATCAAAAGCCTTAAGGAATGGGCGCCTGGGTGGCCCATTCTATGTCCCTAAAGCTCTCATCCATTTAATTCTACTCCATTAGGTCACACAGAGTAAGTAAGAAGAAAGGTAGTAAACTAAAACAAAACAAAAAAAGACCTTTCCCCTAAAATTTTCCATGCACCATAATGATATTTTATATGTAATCTCAGCCATTTCTTATTTTAGCTGATACTCCTTCAGAAAACTAAGAGCAATTCATATGGTTATCATAGAGCAATCTCTTCTCTGAATAAAAGATCTTGAGTTACCTCTAAAATATTCTAAAAGAAAAGATAGTTAAAAGAACTCCAAAATAAAAAAAAAATATTATGGCTCTCTTTAGATCACAATAATCATCATCTGAAAGCTCTCCACTTGCTTTTTGGTTTTGTGTTTTCTTGTGTGTGGGTTTTTTTGTTTTTTTTTTTTAATTTTAATTCATTTAAGTGTGACACCCAAAAATGACCATTGTCCTGAAGAGGAAAATGCATTATTTGCCATTGTTTGAAAACTTCCTTCAGTTCCTTCTCCCACTCCTTCTAAAGTCCTGAGCTCTACTTACAAGAAGGCCTCACACATGGAGCAGGTGTTGCCATGCATTTTCCCATCCGGGCCCTTGATGGGGTCATTCTCTCGAGTGCAGAGAAGCTGGCCATTCTTCCTTAATTTGCGGTAGTCACTGCATAATTCCTGTGAAATTGAGGAAGGAAGTTTGAGGTTTTGAACACAGGTTGGGTCAGACTGGAAAAATAGCTGAAGTTTAGACTTTTTTCTTAAGTGGGGATCAGTAATTGGCTTATTTTAGAATAGTTCTTAACTGGGAAGACATGACTATTTTTAAATGATAAAAGTTGCACAACCTCAACCTAGAAATAGTCACATATGCACATGGGTATGTGCTCACATATAAACAAACTGTACAAATATTTCCTACAGTTTCAGGGGATTTAGGAGTTTCCTGAATGCCATCTATGGACCCCAGGGCCACATGCCTCTGACTTTTGGAGAAGTTCCCCTCACCTCAAAGGGAGCTATGTTCTCAGATTCTCTCTTATTTCTTGACTCACTTTCCTTCTTTTTCTTTTCTTCTTCCTCTGTTTGGCTAAAAAAGAATGATTAAAAAGGAGATCAGTAAGGATCATAGAATGTCCAGGTTGAAAGTGACCTCAAAAATAATTTAATTATGACAGTTAATACTTATTAAATTCTGGGGTGCCTGGTTGGCTCAGTCAGTTAAACATCTGCCTTCAGCTCAGTTCATGATCCTAGGGTCCTGGGATCGAGCCCTACATTGGGCTCCCTGCTCCCTCTCCCTCTGCTCCTCACCACCTTCCTCCCCTGCTTGTGCTCACTCTCTCTCTTTAAAAAAACAAAAAAACAAAAAAACCCCCAAAAAACCCACCTTAACTAAATTCTTACTATGTGCCTGACCTGGGGCTTATTCCATGAAATCTTCCCAACTGCATGTTACAAAACTACTATTATAACCCCATTTACAAATGAGAAAACTGACAGAATGGATCACTTTCCCAAGGACACAGAACTAACAAATGTACACTACAGATTTAAATCCTAATCCAGAGGAAGTTTTTTGATCTTCCACTACTCATGACTTCTAATACTCAGTATGTCTGATTACTGTCCAGTTTTGCTCTAATCCGCTAGTAATTCTCTACCTTGTATCATCCTTGAAACCCCACATAGGTCATTCTACCCTTGAAGTCCTCAGACTGTTAGGAAGTTGCTCCTGGCATTGAGCCAGACCCCTTCCAGAGCTTTCACTCATTGTTTCCACTTTCATCCACAGAGACAACCAGGAACTAGTATTGATAAAACAAAAGCTACTTGGATATCTCAAGACCATGACTCCTCCTTCGCTAAATGTACCAAGCCTTACATGGTTTTCATCCTAAACGTGCTTTTGCTTTCCTGCTGAAGTGGTCCTCTCATAATGGAACACAGAAATGAAGCAGAAAGTTAATCTGAACTCACTGCTCACATTTTCTAGAATCCCTTCCATAACAACAACAACTGTCTAGTAGAAGAGAGAGACGGTGAACATAGAGTCACACATATCAATCTACCCCTACTAACTGTGTTTTGTGCTACGAAGCAAAGTGCTGATCACCATGAAGGAGAAAGTGTGGGGTTAGGGACGTAGAGTAGGCTTTGCCACAGCTGTTCAACCTGTGTCCACGAGACACATGGGAGGGGTTCACTCCACCAGATACTCATCATTCCTATTCCAAGTCATTCCCCCAGGTCCTGTGTATGAACTAATGTACCGTTTTGCATATTTATATGTTTGCTTTGTGATGTGTTGTGTGATTTCAGGTGACTTCACAGCCCTCTCTGCAAGGGTAAGATCCTTGTTTTACATCCTGTACACTTCCACAGGAACTCAACCAGTGATTGATAAGCAAGAATGATTCTTTGGAGTTCGTTAGGAGTAATGTCACCATGATGGCAACATAGGTGGTTCCTAACTTCCCTTCCCCTCACCAGAACAACCAACCTCTAGTCATGACATGACTGAGAGAATCCTAGAACACGGGGACGAGGCTGAAGTACCCACGGCGCCTCAGAGACCAAGCCAGACTGCATGAGAAGGGTAAGAGAAGCAGCTACTTGTGGACCTCACTGCCCCTCTCTCAGGACAGAGCAGGAATTATTCTTGGATAATTATGACATTGTGCAAAAATGCCATTGACAAGAATTAAACACAACTTAAGAAATAAAATATAACAAAGTTAAAATTAAAAAAATACAAAATGAAGCAGAAAGGACAAAACGCTCCCTCATTTCCCCAGGTGCAGCGCTACTCACAAGAACACCTCACACATGGAGCAGGTGTTGCCATACATTTTCCCATCGGGGCCCTGGATGGGGTCGTTCTCTCGCGTGCGGGGGAGTTTTCCATTCCTCACAAGCTTGAGGTATTCACTGCACAGCTCCTGCCAGGATAGAGAAAGCAAGCTAGGGATACATTTTGTTCCTATTCCAGGCAGAAGATTGGAACATCAACATTGGCAGAAACTAATGTTATGCTTCTTTGACACCAGGACTTTAGTTGTGTTTCTCTCAAATGTAAAATTTAATTCAACAAACAGAACTCACCATTTGCTAAGAGATGGGAACAAATAAGACATAATGGGATGTCACAATATAAGAAAAGAGGTGGACAAGTAAACTCCACTATAATCTAAACACACTGAAATAAGGGCAGGGGAGCCTGGGTGGCTCAGTCGATTAAGGGTGTGCCTTCAGCTCAGGTCATGGTCCCAGGGTTCTGGGATGGAGCCCCAGGTTAGGCTCCCGGCTCAGTGGGAAGCCTGCTTCTCCCTCTCCCTCTGCCCCTCCGCCTGCTCATGCTCTCTCTCCCGTGCTCTCCCTCTCTCTCACAAATAAACAAAATCTTAAAAAAATTTTTGGAGGAATAAAATAAGTGCAAACATACAGGTACAAGAAAATCTGAGAACATAGAGGTTGGGACCATGAGATCTGACTGTGAAAACCAGGGAAGATGTCACATAACAAGAATAATTTGAGTGAGACTGAAGAGTAAACAGCACTTTCATGGATAAGAAGGGGATTGGGGAATATGCATACGAGACCATTAAGTTGGGAAATAAAGTAGGAAACCACACGGGCATATAGCAGAACATAAATTTCTGAATGAAGGTAAGCCAAATAAGAAGGGAGATAAGGAGATTGAATTATATCCTATAGTTTATGATGAGCCATTTGTGGCTTTTAAGCAGAACGGTATTGCGATCTGATTAATATTGTGAAGCTTTACTCTAGCTCTGTTAGGGAGCATAGTTGGATAACGGAAAGAATAGAACCTAGCGGGAAAAGTAGTAGACTTTCATCTTCTAAACAATAAGCAGTAACAACTTATAGAAGGCTATGGAAACAAATATTGTAACATTTCAGAGCTAAAAAGCAGGCTTTCTGTGTGCAGAATGAAGGTATTTTTATCCCAATTCAAATGTGAAATTTCAAAGATTCATATGTAGAAAATATATGGGAATATAAGGGAAGTGGTTTGCAAAAGCTAACACAGTCTGTAAGTGATGAAACCAGTGCTAGAACCCAGTTTTTTCAGACTTCAAATAATTTTTACTCCACAGGGTTAGTCTTGGAAGCAGCAAGCATTGATCAAGTTCCCATAGGATTCATCTCAGTGTCATCTCCAGATTAAAGGGTTAGAATTTCCTGGCAATTTTTTTACTGGAAAATATTCCACCCTTTAGACTCTGAAACATGTTCAAGTTAGAATGCCAAGTAGGACTCAATGGGTGGATTCCACTCACTCCACATAAGGGTGTTTTTTCAGATTCTCTTTTATTTCTTGCTTCTGCTTCAGCCTTTTTCTTTTCTTTAGCTTCTGCTTGGCTAAATGAGAGAAAAAAAATGAGAAGAATCCATTGGACCAAGTATAGGCAATTATTTGTCCACATTCTTGCATTGCTAATCTGTCCTCCCTCCTTAGAAAGAGCAATTTTGTCCTTTTATCACTACATACCGATGAGAAGCAACAAAACAGCCTCCAGTATGGTAAGATACCATAACTTCTTTATACTTTTTGCTTAACATTGAAAGAAAGACAGTGATTGTGGATCTGGAAAGCTTGCTTTCTATAAAATACCTTTCTTGCCTGTGATCAGAAAAGAAATACCATCAATGTCCATCAAGGAGATATCAAAACTAGTACCCTTGTAACGTTATACCTGGAGACTGAAAGTGGCCTTTACAAAGCACACTGACTGGTTCCCTTGTCTGAGGCAGAGAGGGCTTTGGCTATGCTTTTAGGACAGGACTACAATTAACCAAGGTCCCTTCTCTCAAGTCTATAGTCTATCACATCATGGACACCCTAGCTTTATTAATTCACCTTAAATGTATTGCTTACTCATGGCTGTGTTATCTAAAGACAAAATAGAGTGCAGGTGGAAAAAGGCCAATAATTTCCATACATTGATAAACCAAATGAGCCTATATTTGCTTTGCACAATAGAATTGCATGGTATGTATGGTTAACTGATGCTATTTCAACCACACAAGGCTATCAATCAAAACAAAAGACCATAGATTCAAAATGTAAATCAACTACTTAATCTGAGTTCAATCAAATAAACTGGGAGTAGTTCCAAATTTTGAAAGCAAACTGTCAATTCTAACTTATTGAGAAATGTCACATTATATAAAGTAATATTTAATTTTGTAAGCGTTCATGATTATTTGATGGGCAACATTAACTCTAATAATCAATATCTGCATTAAGTGCTTACTTTGGGCCCTAACCTCTTTGGAAGATGAGATGCCTATAAACTTGTACCACAGGTTCATATATGAAGCTTCAGCAGTATGGACAATGTGATATTTGCACAAGCTCAAGGCTGTCAGGATGTTCCAGTGGTAAGAGAATGAGTGTCAAGGAAGCAGACATATTGGAGTAAATAGCTCTAGGTCCTTCTGCCAGCTCTCTTGCTAACATTCTCAATGTAAGTATTCAACTTACTCAACTCCCTTCCCTATTTTGAGCCCCAGTTTCCCCACTTATGGAAGTAGCTAGTTCTATTAGACTCTCTGTAAGGTCCTTTCTCTTTGGCATTCTTTAGACACTCTGACATTCCATACTCACTAGAAGGCTTGACACATGGAACACAAGTTTCCATGCATTTTCCCATCTGGACCACGAACAGGGTCATTTTCTCTGGTACAGAAAAGTATTCCATTCTTTGCACGATCCTGATATTCACTGCAGAGTTTCTAAATAATGAAAATGAGACAGTTTAGATATAGTTATCTATTCTGTTTATTCATTTTATTTTTTAAAAGATTTTATTTATTTATTTGAGAGAGACAGAGAGAGTACGAGAGTGAGTTGGGAGGGGAAGAGCAGAGGGAGAGAGAGAGAATCTCAAGCAGACTCCATGCTGAGTGTGGGGCCCAACGCAGGGCTCGATCTCACGACCCTGAGATCAGGACCTGAGCCAAAATCAAGAGTCGGATGCTTAACCAACTGAGTCACCCACGGCGCCCTCTGTTTATACATTTTAGATGCTGTTAATTAAAGATATCAAAGAAAAGGAACTAAGGATAAAAAATAAAACTTATAGGATTTAGGATCATCCCAAAATTTTGTGATATTTCTCTCCATGTAATAGTTACCCATTTAAGTATGCAGCAAATGTATTAAGGGGATATGACTATAAATGTGATTTAGCTCTTTTATCACTCAAGTGGACAGGATAAGGAATTGCAATATAAAAAGCTGAGAGATATGACACAGGTCTGAGTTAAATTTGTACAAGCACAAAGGGAAGAATGATTTATGGAAGTACAGAGAAGAGTTTATAGCTGAGGTCTCTATCTTTAGGATGTGTCCAGGTAAACAATATGGCAAAAAGGTCCTCCAGGAGGAATTACAACTTATATGCAAAGACAGAGGGACATAAAAGACCATGTTATCTTGAGATCATCTATTATTGTCAGGAAGAATTAGCTGGATAAAGAGAGGAAGGTTTGGGAAAGGGTCAAAAAGGAGACCTTGAAGATTAAGTCAAAACTAGATCACTGAACCTAGAAGGGAATTTGGACTTTATTCTTAGGAAATTGGAAAATGATAAATATTTATAGAAGAGAAGAACATAAGCAAATCTGTTTTAGAAAGACCACCCAGCCAGCCAGATATGTGGGGATTTGAGTGACTGGAGACTGAAGTTTGAGAAACTATAGGAGAAAATAAGGAAAGGAAGGGAGGGAGGAAGAAAGGAAGGGTGGAGGGAAGGAAGGAAAGAGAACAAGGAGGACAAAGAGGAAGGAATAAAACCGGAAATGAAAGATAAAAGGATTGTTTTGATTTCAGAAATAAAATTAAAGGATTGAAGAGAAGACATCAGTTGAAAGTGAGGCTTAGACATTACGATGGAATTACATGAAGTCAGCTGCTTTATGAAACTGTGAACTACACACTACAGAAGGTGGGCGAACACTCACTGTTAAAAATAAGTTACATAGGAGTGAAATGGTCCAAATAGCCTCTAGGATACCCTCAAATGTTGGCTTTTCCTAAGGCCACTGAGTCATGGAAATATTTCCCACTCAAACAGTGTGGAAGATGAATTGAATCTTGAGGACTGAGAAAGCTGTTGGCGAGAAGCACAGAGGCCAGGCAGGATGCTAACGCATCAACACAAAGGAAATCTATGAGAAGTATGAGCTAAGTTGGTAGCAGGAGAAAAAAAAAAAAACACAAATGACTAGTTAAGAGATGTGTGGAAAGTAGAATGTGGTACGATTTTAAAGGGAGAGTATTAAAATGATACATAGAAGACCTCCAAAACAGCTACCACACATATTAAACTTTGAATTCAGATGATGCTTTGATATATTACCTTTGTTTAGGAACTGTTCTACTAATATGACTTGATTAATTTTCTCCAAGTAGCGCTAAAAATTGTAATGTTGTAATTATTCTTCTAAATCTTATGAAATAGTAACTATAAACTGCTTTCCAGAAAATCCATCAGTAATGAAGGAAAAACGAACCAATATCGAAAAAGCATTGTAGAGTAAAATGCACACACATCCCACAAAAGTCAT